ATTTGATTTAATTTTATTATTTATTCTTATAATTAGTTTATTTTATTATTGTTCTCGAAGTTCAGCTTTTCTAAATTTTTATAGTAGTCACCTTTACTTTGAAATTCAGATTATAATTGCATAGTTTATCTCTAGTATTCTAATTATTAAGATAGAAATATGTTCTAGTTTCCTAAATTTAATAGATCTTGACGAAGTTAATTTATAATTTATTTTTAATTAAAGTCATCTTTATTTAGATTTTGTAAAAATTAGGTTTTCATATCGCTTTTTTTTTTGGTGAATTATTTTTTTAATTAATTTTTAAATCTACCATAAATCAAAAAAATTAATATTATATAAATAATTTGTTATTGTTTATTATTTTTAATTTAAATAAAGTATTGCATATTTAATTTAATAAATGTTTATTTTTTTGTTTCATTTTATAATAAATAAAAATTAATAAAAAATTTTTTATTAAATTTAATATTAGTAATAAAAAAAAATATTTTAAAAAATATAAATTAAAATGGATAATTAGCAGAAAATAAATATTATTTAAAATTTGAATAGTCCTTCTAAATAAAATCAAAATTCAAATTATACATTATTAAATAATATTTAACCTTTATTACCATTTGTAATATAAAAAGAAACATTAGTATATGAAGATATAAATAAAATAATATGGTTACATTAAAACTTATATCACTTAAGTATGGAAAACAAATACTTGATGGAACAATTAGAAAAATATAAATCGTATTTTGAATAAAAAGATGTGCCTGAAGGATAAGAAAACATATAAATCAAAAACCCTAATGAAAAAAACCAATAATTATATTAATAATAATAAACATAATATAATTAATTAAAAATAATTATAATAATTTATAATAATCTTAATAATAATAAAATGAAAATTTACATCAATCTTAATAAAATACTAATAATTTATAATAACACTAATAATAATTGCTTGATAATACATAATAATAATAACAATAATTAAATTAAAATATGTAATAATCTTAAAAATAGCAATCATAATAATTTTCTAATAATAATATTAAATAATAATTAAGCACCTAATCAACATAACCTTATGAATTTAATACACAAAATGTACTATCTACGCAAAAATTTCCTTCCTAGAACAATTTATATTTATATTCTACTTAAAAACAACTTGCAAAAAATAATTCTCCTTAAAAGCAAAAAAATCTAATTTATGTTTCTTTTGATAATGACATATCATAAAAGAAGGACTAAATAATTGCGGAAGAAGAAAATAAAATACTTTCTCAAAAAATATCTCAACTCTAAATCATAAACGATTAATTATGCACCCAAATACAACATTTAAAAGTCGAAATATAATAAAACAATCTATAATAAAATGAAAATCAGGCATTATAATAAATAAATGATAATTTATAAGCCCGAAATTAGTAATATTTATAATAAATTGAATATATAAAATAGAATAATGAAAAAGAAATTAAAAATATTGTTGAATAATATAAACTTTAAATTGATTTTTTAAAAGAAAATTATGAAAAAGTAAAAGAAGAAAGTGAAAAAAATAATGAATTATTTGAAAAAAACAATAAAACATACATAAATACAATTAAATAGAAATACGATGAACTTTAAAAAGTTTAAATAAAAAATAGAGAACTTTTAGAAGAAAATGGAAATTTTTAAGAAAAAATTAACATTTTTATATAAGAATAAAATTAATGGCAAATAATTAAAGAAAATTTAGAAAAATAATTGGAAAATTTATAAAATTAATATTAGCTTTTATGCAATTAATCTGTGTAAAATTAGTAGAATTTTTCGGATTTTTAAGAAAAAATAGAAATCCAATAAAATTAGTAACTTATAGATGAGAATTAATTGAAAGAATAAATTTTTAATCTAAATTAATAAATTTTGCAATTATAGTAATGTAATTTATAGATTTAAAAAGATTTCTAAGATAGTATTTAAGAGTATAATATCAAAATATAAAGATTAGAATAATAGAAAATAAATAATTTGGAAAACTAAAGACAAATGTAAGCATAAATTGAAAATTTGAAAGAAATCTAAAGTTAGTTAAATCAAGAAATTATAAAAAAAGGATTTATTTTGGACGAAGAAACGAAAAAAAAATAAAATTTGTAAAATAAAATCGAAGAAAATATGTAAAAAAATTAAGAAAATGAAAAAAAATTCTAAGAAAAAATTTAAGAAATAGAAAAATCAAAAAATAAAATGAATTATTTATTTGAGAAAAATATTAAGGATTTATTAGAAAAATAAGAAAAAACTGTTTAAAATTTTGAAGAAAAATTAAAGTAGAAAAATAAAGAAATTAAGGAAAAATAAAATGAAATTAAAAAAATAAATGAATAAATAGAAAATTAAAATTAAGAATATTTAATGAATAATAAAGAACTTTAAAATAAATTAGAAGATTTGGAAAATATTAAATATATGTTGGCATAGGAATGTATAAAAAAAGAAGGAATAATAAAAGAATTAACTAAAAAAGGAGAAAACTCTTAAATTTAAATGAATAATATACGAGAAGAATTAGAAGAATTGAAAATAGTTTAAAAAGAGTAAGAAAAAAATTAAAATAATCAAGAGAATTTAATTGAAAAGTAAATGGGATAAATGGAAACTCTACTTTCCGAAATTTAAAAAATGGAATATATTTTGAAGGAAAAGGATAAAGAAATTTTTAGTTTAGAAAATACAAAAAAATTATTTGAGAAGAGTTTAGAAGAAAAAGAGAGAGAAAAAGAAGAAATTGAAAGGAACTTTTCGATCTAGAAAAAAAATATGGAAATCTAGAATGAAAAATTCGAAAATAAATTTTTGGAAAAAATAAAAATTTAAAAAAAGGAAATATTTTAAAAAGAACATGAAAAAAATGAAATTTTAGAAAAAATGAAAAAAGAAATAAAATAAAAAGAAAAAGAATTAGAAGAATTTCTTAAAAATTAAAAATTTCTAGAAAATTAGAAAAATAAGAATATGAAAATTAAAAATTTTAGAAGAAAAAAAGAAGTAAGAAGATGAAATGATTAAAAAATAAATTAAGAAATTGGAATAAGAAAAAATATAACTAGAAGAAATATAAAAATAAAATTATGAATAAACAAAAAATTAAATCTTTCAAATATTATAAGAAGAATTCTTAAAGAAAAAACATGAAGAGGATAAATTCTAGGAATAATTAAGAATAAAATAACTAGAAGAATACAAAAAAAAGAAGAAGAGATTAAAAGGAAAGAAAATTAACTATAAATGAAAGAAAAAGAAATTATAAAAAATAATAAGAATTATAAAAAAATTAAGAATAAGAAATACTAAGAAAACAATTAGATGAATTATAAAGATAATAATAAGAAGAAATATAATAAAAAGAATAAGAATTACTAAGAAAATAAATAGAATAACAAAAAAAATATGAAGAAGAATTACAAATAAAATAATAAGAAGAGATAAAAAATAAATAATTAGAAGAATTTTAAAGAAAACTATAGGATGAAGAAGTAGAAAAAATAAAAAGATATCAATTGGAAGAAGAAATAAGAAAACAATAAGAATAAGAAATATTAAAAGAATAATAAAGACGAAATAACGAAGAATAATAAAGAAAAGAAGAAGAATAAAGAAAAGCAGAGGAATAAAAAAAAATAGAAGAAATATAAATGAGTTAAAAAGAAGAAAAAAGAAAATAGGAAGAATAAGAAAAATTTAAACAATAAGAAAAATAAGTGAAAAAAAGATAGGAGTAAGAAAAAATTATATAATTAGATGAAGATCAGCAAAAAAGAGAATAAGAAAAAAAATATGAAAAATTACAAGAAGAAAAAAAGAATTAAGAACTGTAATAATAATTTATAATATAAGAGTAAACATAAGAAAAAATAAGATATGAATTAGAATATGAACAAGAATAAGAATAAGTAGAAGAAGTAAAAAAGAGATTTAAGTAGCCAAAAGAACAAATAATACAAGAAGATTATTTAAAAAAAGATTTAATGAGTCGAAATTCATAAAATTAATATTAAATACAAAAGAAAATAAAAGATTATAATAATAATTCAGTAGATAATCAAGAAAAAATATTTCTTTCATTCGAAAAAAGAAAAAAAAAAACATTAATAGATGATAGATAAAATAAAAGAAATACATATCCTTAAGAATAAGTTTAAAATAAATTTATAGAGTACTCAACACCTTTTTAGAAAAAGTCGTACTTTTAAGACCTTTAGTAAAATACTAATTCTTTTAGGAATGTTAATAATAGTGAATTTGATAACGAAGAATAATCAGAGTTATCTAATAAAGTAAAAAAAAATAATGATAGAATATTTAAAATTGATAATGATTCTAGTAGTTTTAAAAATTAAATTGGAAACAATGTTAATAAAGATAATATAAAATTTGGTAGCAAAATAGAAAATAGTTAGAAAAACTTATAAGAAAAAAGCAATTTTAAAAAATGAAAATTATTAAATTACAAAATTATAAGTATTTATATTATTTTTGAAAAATAATAATTATTAAAAAAAAAAATTAAATATTAAAGATAATAAATAAATATTTATATATATTTTTAAAAATATATATATATATATATATATAATAATATATATAGATATTTTATATTCATTAAATTTAATTATATATTGTTAAAATATTTTTATAATAATTTTACTATATTATTTTTATCTTATTTCCAAATAATATATTTATATTTTACATATATATCTTTAAATTAAATATTTAAAAATGTTTTCATTAAAATTTTTAAATAATTCATTTAATAAACTAACAACTCAAAATATTTTTAATTCAAAAGCAATATTTAATTTTGGAAGAGCTAAACCTAAAGGTTTTATAAAAAAAATAATAATATAAAAATTTATATAATATACTAAAAAGTAAATTTTTATACGCCATATGAGGTTAAAGATCAAGCAGAACTTAGAGTATATGACGATGAAAAGAATATGGACAAAAAATATGTAAGAATAAGAAATGAATGGTAAAAAGCCCTATAAAAAAAAGCACATAGAAGAGAAAGAATAAAAGAAATAAAAGCAACTAGACCAGAAATATAACCTGAAAATTAAAAATTAGTTATTCATTAACCTTTGAAAGGTATTTAATATCCTGCAAAAGATGATGAGATATTCGCAGTAGTAGAAATTTTAGGATTTTAATATAAAGTTTTATAAGATGATATGTTAACAGTAGATTGGTTAAAAGAATATGATATTAACTAATAAATTATTTTTGATAAAGTTCTTGCTATAGGAACTACTGATTATACAGCTATTGGTCGTCCTTATATTTCTACTGCAAAAGTATAATATATATATTTGTATATATTGAAAAAAAACATATTTAATGAAAAAAGGTCTATGCAACTGTAGAATAACAAACTTAGTCTGAAAAAGTTTTGGGTTTACATTTAAGAAGAAGAAAAAATTCTAAAAAGCATTGGGGTTTTATTTTTATTTTTATTTTTTATATCTTTTATTTTAGGACATAGAACTATGATGACTGTTTTAAGAGTTGATAAAGTCGAACATATTTTAGATGAAAGTATCCTTTAAAAAGCAGTAGGTCTATGATAAAACTAAATTAAAATATACAAAAATTTATATAAATATTAATATAAAAAATATAATAAAATAAATTTATTTAAATAGTTGCTTTTTTATTCTTAATATTTATTTTGTTTTATATTTATTTATTTTCTTTATTGAAAAATGAAAAAAATATTTATTTATGTTTATGATGATTTACTTATTTTATTAATTATGATATTTTATTTTTTAATTTTTAAATATAATAAAGAGAATTTATAATTATTATTTCTAAATAATTCAATATTTTTATGATTCTTTAAGGTTTCTTCTTAAAATTTCTATATTGTATTTTAGTCTTTCATTTTCTTTTAAGGCTTAATCTAATTCCTTAATATTTTATTTAAAAAATAAATGGTTTATATTATTTACTTTATTTTCTAAAACAGCTTTAAAGTTATTTAATAAATGTTAAATTCTATAGTTTAATTTTGAGTTTTCTTCCTTTACTTATTTTAATTCTTTTTATATATTATCATTAGACTATTCATTTTATTTTTATTCTTCTACGCTCTTTTATAAAATAGTTATTTTTAAATTATTTTACTTTTTTATGTTACATAATGTTATAAATCATTATAAAATGCTTCACGTAAATCATATAAATTTTAAAGAACTTGACCTTAGAAATTTTACATTTATGAATTTTCTGCTTCTTTAACTTTTTTATTTGAGGTTTTAAAAATCAATAATAATTTATTAAATTTTATTTAAGTACATTTTTATTAAAGATTGTCAAATTCTTTTTAAACTTATTATAAATTATCCATAATGTTCAATGAATATATTTAGTTATTTTTAAATATAATTTTAAAAATATAATTAATATGTTTTTAATAAAATAAATAAAAAATAGATATTTGCTCTAAGTAAAAAAAGAGAAAAATATATTATTTTTATTTTAAAAATACTTTTTTAAAATAAAACTAATTTAAAATTAATTGATAAAACTACTTCTATAAAAAATACAATAACAATATTAATCTAAAACGCAAATTATAAATAATTTTTTTACTTTCATTTATATTTTCCTAATATTTCTATTTCTTTTTATTCTGATCTTTTTGGAATTTCAATTTCTTTTATATAATATTACTTTACTAATTTATTTAAGTAATAAGGATCCTATAATTTATTTTATTTATAAAATAATTAATATTTCTTACATTTTTAATAAAATCATAAGGTAAACGCTCATCATTTGAATTAAATAAATAATATATATAATCTTAGTTTACAGAAACACCTCCAAAAATAATATTTCCTAAATTTTCATATTATTGCATTTTTTCTTAATGATCTCTTTCTAATGATACTTTTTTAAAATTTATTAATTTTTATTAATAAAATAAAAACCTTTTTTATATTAAAAATCTTCTGCTAACTAATATTAAACTATAAAATACTTTTAAAATTAATCAGAATAAAATGTAAATTATTAAATATTTAAATTTATTAATTTATTTGGTTTAAGAATTCTTTTTATATTTTTTGCTATCATATATTATTTTAATATTTTGTAAAATCAATAAAATTATATCTTAAATTATATATTTTAATTTAATTTAATTTAATTTAATTTATAAAAAACATTATTAATATTTGAAAATGTTATATTGTAAAATTACATTTTTTATCTAAGGCTATTTTTTTATTTTATAATTTTTGCACATATTGAAAAAAAACAATTTAAATATATTTTATAGTTAAAATTAATTATTTATTTATTTATAAAAATAAATTTAAATACTTATTAAATGAAAACAGCAGAATAATACAAAAATCTAAAATAATAACTGTTAAAGTTTAAATAAAAACTTTGTATCATTTATAAAAACTAAATTCATTAATCTTTATCATAAATGTATTTAAAAAGCATCAAAATTCAAAGTATTAATTAATTAATACAAATAAATTCAAAAATACAAATTTCGCAATACAAATTAATCTGTAAAAATGTTTTTTACCCGAACTAAGAAAAAATTTTCATAATATTCTACAAAGTAAACATGAAAGATATTTAATAATTAATGGTTGTAAATCTTTGTATATGCAAAACATTTACAAATAAATAAAAAATTATATTTTTACAAAATAAAGGAAATTCTATAAAGTATAAGGTTAAGTTAGAGCATAAATTTCTCTAATATAAATTAAATTCTAAAGCATTAATATAATTTTATAATTTAGTTATTTTTTTTAATAAAATTCAAATTTTAACCAAAAAACAATCTTATTAATAAGTTTATTTATTAACATTTATCTGTTTTATTTTGTATTTTTTAATTTTTATGTTTTAGAAATTATAAATTAAACAATTTGTATATATATAAATATTAAATAACAATTTAGAATATGCAATTAGATTATTTGTTATAAAAAAGTCTTTTTAAATTAAATTTAATTAATGTTTTTAGTGCAAATATTTTTATTAAAAAAATGAATTTAATGTAAGCATTTAATTTTTTTTCTTAAATTTTCATGTATATAAATTAGTCATTACCCCTACTTTACGACAATATGGACAAGCTTTTTAATTTTTAGCACAATTTTTACAAGTATTTGTATGTCCACAGTTATTCCAAACAGAAGTAACTTAATATTTTTCAAAACAAACACAACATTCAAATTTTTATACATAAGTTTCTTTTATTTATTCAATATATTAACTATCCAAAAATTATTATTTAATTTATTTAAGTAATTAATTTTCAATAGCAAAGAAAGAATCAGCACTTACATTTTAAGTAGGTTTATACTTTAATTTTTTATAATAAAATTTAATGATATTTTATATTTTTTTTACATTGTTTAATTGTTTATTTTGTATTAAATTAATTAATTCATCTATTTTTTAAGAATTTTGATTTATATTACTTTATGAAGTAAATATTTTCTTTAAAAATGAATCTTTAGGCTCTTTTATATATAATTCTTTTAGATTTTATAATAGGTCTTTTTTTAATAAATTATATTATTAGCTTTTTTGAAAACTTTCTATTTTAGATTTTATTTGTTCAATTTAAATTTCCAAAAAAATATTAAATTGTTAAGCTTAAAAATTTATTTGCTCATATACTTTTTCTATTTTTTAAATTTAATCATTATAGATTTTTTAATAATCTTTGCATAAATATAATATTTTCATATTTATTTCATCAACATGCCTCTCTTCTAATTCTTTTATTTTAGCTTTTATTTTTTCTTAATATTATTATTTTAATTACTATTCCAATTAATTATAATGTTATATTAAACTAGCTTCTTCTACAAAAGTATTTATTACTTTGTTTTTTATTGACTCTATATAGTTCATTTTTCTAATAATTATATTATTTTTATTTAATTTTTAATTAAATTAATTATTTAATAAAATTAAATAATTTATTATATCAAATTAAATAATTTTCTTTTTTTAATATATATATATATTTATTATAATTTAATAATTTATTTTATTTTTTATTTTAAATAATTCTTGAAAATTATTTTAATTTGTATTATTAATTATAAAAACAAATATAAAAACTCATTAGAATTCTTTTTTCTTAAATTATAATAATTCTTATTTATCAATTACACTATCTTGGTTAACTAATAGAATTTTTCTCAGATCTTGATCACTATATGAGGCTATTTAAAAATCTTAAGAGCTTTTTTTAATATATTGTTCATCATCTTAAATAAAATATCCCTCTAACTTTTAGTCTTCTTTAATAATTTATCCATTTTGCAAATAATTATTTTTCTTTTTTTTTTTAATTACAATAAAATGTGAATTTTAATGTGATTTATTTTTCAAAACAGGTGTATAATATTTTGGAAAAATTATTTTACTTTTAACATTCTCATCTTATAAATTTGCCTTCGACTTAACCTACCTAGTTTAAATACTTAAAGTATTGATAATATGTACCTACTAATCATATATCATCGAAATTCTCTCTTAACTTAAGGTTTATTGTAATTTCTGATTAAGTTATCCATTAAATGCCACTTTATAATATAAAAAAGAAAAAGCCAATATAAATACTCCGAAAATACTCGCTGCTCGTGAAAAGCTAAAAAATTCCGAAAAAAAACCACCAACCAGTGGCCCTATAAATTCTCCTAAAGCATAACTAGTATTATATAATGCTGAGGAAATATCCCCAATCATATTATCGTTCTCTTCGGGATAAATGCATTTTAGGATTCTATATAACTAAGGAATAGCAGGAATATAAATCAGAATATAGGCTATTCCTACAAATATATTAGCAATAATAACCACATTCATATCCTTACCAAGTAAAAAAGAGTCAGGACCCAAATAAAGAAAACTTGATCCCATAATAAAGCATCCAAGGAATAACAAAATTTCATAACTTTCAAATTTTTTTATATATTTTGCTGCTGGTGGTGTCAAAACTATATAAACGATAGTTCGGACAGAAAAAAGCAGTCCAATTTGAAAATCATTAAGCTAATATTCTTTTGAAAAATAAATGCTCATAGTAGGATCCAAAAAAAGAATTCCACAAGTCGGTAAAAAAATTATAATATAGTTTAATAATAAAAATTTATTCTAAAATATTTTCATGTAATGAATTTCGAATTCTTCTTCTTCATCTTCCCCTTATTTTTTTCTTCGCCTTCATTTTCAAGGTTTTTTAAATTCTATTGCGATGGAATAGATTTTATTAATATTGGGGTTAATAATATACATATTAGACTAAAAAATATAAAAGGTGTGCTATAACCGAATATTTACAATAGTAAACTTCCTAAAATGGGACCAATTATTAAACCTATTGTGCCTAAACTTTCCATATATGCACATATTTCTTCGAAGTTTACTTTATAAATTAAAGGTATGAATGCAAAAGCATGTGTACAAAACAATGATTAACCCTTTTATATTATTATTTTTAAATTTTTTAATTTTCTACTATTCCTAATATTATTTTTGATATTATTGATGCTATTATGAAGTTAACTTTTTGTTCTATATAAAATAAAAAGGCAAATATTAATATTCCTATTGATGTTAATATGATTCCAGCTATTGTAAATATATTACGATTTTGTCCTATTTATAAACGCTTTCCTAATATTAATGCACATACGAAATTTCCTAAAGGATATGTGGCAAATATTATGCCTATTAATGATACTGAAATGCCATATTCAATTGCTCTTTACGGGAATAACGGGGCAATTGCTGAGTATGCAGAATTTATGGCAAAATAACCTAAATATAAACAAATTAGAAATATATCCATTTTTATTAATTTTATATACTCTTTTGTCTTATTAATTGATTTCTCTATTTTATTTAACTTATTAATTATTTTTAAATCAAACCTAATTTTTAAATATTTTTTATTTCAGATGGATGTATTGTTTATAATTATAAATTAAAATTATATTCATTTCAAAATTTTAGTTTAATAAACAAGAAATTCATATAATTAAGTATTTTAATTTCTTCTTTATATATTTTATAAATTCTAAGTTTATAAATAAATTCCTAATATATTATATATAATTATTTTATAAAATATTATTAAGCTTTATTGAAAATAAAATTAAAATGAGTTATTACTTTTATAGTAAAATATTAATTTTTAAGATAATTAATATACTTCACAAGAATTAAAATCTAAATTGTGTAATAATAATAAAATTTAAAAGTAAAAATATTATGTAAATAAAAAAAATTATTCGTTTTGATTAATATCATTGAAATTTTAGCACTATTTTACATTTTTAATAAAAATAATAAAATAGTAAAATATAGATATTCTTACTAAATAATGGAACATACAAAAGAAATAATAATAAAAATATTTATAATAATAATGCAATATTAATTCAAAAATATTATTACTTTAATATAGAAGGTATTTTAAATTATATATTAATATTTTCTCTCGTTTTAATCAAATAAAAAATTAACTATTTAACCAAAAATATATTTTAAGCTATTATAATAAATTTAAATATTTTAATAAAAATAATTATAATATAATTAACAAATAATGTATGTATGAAGATGATGATGAAGATATTATAATTTAAAATATATTTTGCTTGGGGCAAAAATAATCTGAAATATTAGTTATATAAGATATTATAAATAATAAAAATATTTGGAATTATTCTAGAGATTGTGTATATTATTAAAATTATAATAATATATTCAAAAATATGACTTCTACATATATATAGATTAAATTTTACAAAATGATTATGTTTATATATCGTTAGTAATTGTTATAATTTAATTAATATTATCTTTATATATTATCTATATTTTTTACAAAATTAATTATCAGTTTATATCTTCTAATGATTATAATAAACTAATTTTTTATTAATTATTTTTAAAATAAATAAAAATTAAATAATTTAAAAAAAATGAGAAAATCTTTAAATAATTCATTATAAGTTTTATAAAAGTTTGTATTAACTTAATAGCAAAATACAAGATTTTTAGTATAATTTAACAGATTTTATAATTCTGATACTTTAAATCCTAATAATAAGACAAACGATTTAAATGATTAAAAAACACATTCCGATTTCAAATCCTAATAAAAAATACAAGAAGATTCTTCTTAATAATAATTAAATGCTTCTGAGTAATAATTAAATGCTTCTTAACAATAATTAAATGCTTCTTAACAATAAGTGAATGATTCTGAATAATAAGTAAATGATTCTGAACAATAAGTTAATGAAATGATAGATAAAGTAATTTTAAATTATATTTTGCATGAATTTATTTTTAATTTCTTATCATTTAAAGTGGGTCAAAGATAATAAAGTTTGTCTTTTTATGAAAGGTACTCCTTAAATGCCTATGTGTGGATATTCAAATTTTGTTGTTCAAGTTTTAAAGTTTTATAGTAATTTTTAAAATAAATATTTTTAATTTATTTCAATATGATTTTTTATAAAGAAATTAAGGATTATTAATCAGTTGATATTTTAAAAAATGAATCAGTGCGAAAATAAGTCAAAGTATATTCTAATTGGCCTACATTCCCTTAACTTTTTGTAGAAGGAAAACTTATCGGAGGTTCTGATATTGTAAGTGAAATGCATAAAGATGGCTCATTGAAAACATTATTTTAAAAATCTGGTTTAGTAAATGATGAATGAGAAAAAAAAGATAAAAAATATTCTCAATATAAATTTAATTAAAAATTAAATTTATATATGTGTATTTAATATAAAAATTAATTTTTATCTAATTTCTATTTATAATTTTATATTATTATATCATAAATTTTTAAAAAATAAATAAAATTTGTTAGATAATATTCTAAAAATAAAAAAAATCAAAATTCTGCATTTCCATGCCATCTAGGGAAAGGAATAACATCTCTGATATTATCAATGCCAGTACTAAGCATACATAATCTTTCAAATCCAAGTCCAAATCCACCATGAGGAACAGTACCATATTTTCTCAAATCTAAATACCACCAATAATCTTCTGGTATTAAGTCACATTCTTTCATTCTTTTTTCCAAAACTTCTAAAACTTCTTCTCTTTAAGATCCTCCTACCAATTCTCCGATTTAAGGTACTAACATATCAAAAGCGGCTACTGTTTTTCCATCAGGATTTAACTTCATATAAAATGACTTAATTTCTTTAGGATAGTTATAAACAGCTACAGGCCTTTTAAAAATATATTCAGCTATAAATCTTTCATGTTCAGTAGCTAAATCACATCCCCAATACACTTTATTTTCGAAAATTTTTCCTTCTTGGATAGCTTTTTCAAGCAATGATATAGCTTCTGTATAGCTTATTCTAGCAAAAGGGTTTTTTATTAAATCTTCTAAATAAGTTATGAGGTCGGGTTTATATTATTATTGTAAGAATTCTAAGTCCATTCTATTATTTTTAAGTACAAAATCTAAACAGAACTTTATGTATCCTTCAGCACATTCAATAACATCATATACATCAGCAAAAGCTATTTTATTAAAAAAATTAATATGTATAATTAATTATAAATAAAAATAAAAACCAATTTCAGGTTCTATCATCCAAAATTCAGCTAAATGCCTTGTTGTATGGGAAACTTCGGCTCTGAAAGTAGGTCCAAAAGTGTAAACATTAGAAAGTGCACAACAAAATGTTTCAACAGAAAGTTACCCAGAAACAGTCAAAAACGAAGGTTTTTTGAAGAAATCTTTAGTATAATCAATTAATTGCTTTTTATTTTTCGGTATTTTGATAGCTTCTAAATTAGGTTTAGGTAAAACAGTCGTTACCTAAAACATTTCACCAGCTCCTTCACAATCTGAAGCAGTAATAATAGGTGTATGTATATATTAAAATCCATTTGATTAAAAGTAAATATGAGTTGCATAAGATAAATTATTTCTTACACGGGCAACTGCTCCTATAGTATTTGAGCGAGGACGCAAATGCGCATGTTCTCTAAGAGTTTCTAAAGTATGTTTTTTTTTGGCTATTGGGTATACTTTGGCATCACAATTTCCTATTACCTAGATAGAATGATTTTTTTCAGTTAACTATAATTCAATCACTTGTCCTTTAGCTTCAGATTTAACAAAAAGACCATGGATTCTGTATGATGTAGCAATACCAGTTTTGAGAATTTGAGCGAAGTTTTCTACTTTTTCCTTGTTTACTACTATTTGAAGGTTCTTTACGCATGAACCATCGTTTAGTTCAATGAATACTATTGTGTCAGATGCGGCAGACCTGTTTAATTTATTATATTTATAAATTTAATTATCTTTTTATATTTACCTAACTGTTTTGGACCATCCAGATATTGTACCTTCTTTTCCTATATATTTTTCAGGTTCAATTAATATATTCGAAATTCTTTCAATATTTCCAACTAAATATTAGGGCTTATTTTAATAGGAAAACTATTCTGGTACTTTATATTGATTAGGTTAGTTAAATCTTTAAAAAGCAGTTTGTTCTTTTATTTACTTTAATTCATTTGAAAAGTCATAAGTAAATGGCTTTTCAGGTTGTTTCTATTTTAGGGGTTGTTATTATTTTTCTTTATTATTTCCAGTATTAGCTTAAGGAATGTTATTTAGCTATTTTGTAGTAGGCTTGATCAAATATTTAAATAATAGTGTATTTCTCATTTCGTCTGACTCTTGCATTTTTGTTTTTCGAAATAATTACTTTTTTTCTTTTTTTATATATTTTATTTTTTAAGATATTTTTGTTTAATATTTTATACAAAAATATGTTATTTTAATTTATTTATTAAAAGTTGAAATAATTTGATTTAATTATTATAATTTTAATTTTTATTTTTTATTTAGAAAACTTATAATATTCAAAAGTATTAATTAAATAAATATCTATTAAACTTTTTTTATAATTATAATACAGTTTATTTAATATTAATTATATTCTACAATATTATTATAAAAATAATATATAATAAAAATTTATTAAGTAAAATAATTTTATTTAATAAAATTGAATAAATTAACTATTTAATAATTGCATTATTACTCTAATTTTAAATATTTTAAGAAAATTTCTTAATTTAAAGTTTTTATAGTAGTAAAATAAAAAATTTATATATTTTTAATTAAATAAATGATAATATTTTATACACAAAATTAATTTTTAAATTATTAATGGTACCATTCAGTTTTCTTTAATTAATACATATTCTCTCATAGACTCTCCAAATCTTAAAACATCTTTTTCCAATAGTTAAATATATTATGCAGTGCTTATTTATTTTCCATTTAAAAATGTACTGTTTGTGCTTTCTAAATCAAGTATATATGGAATAATATCATATTCTTATTAATATCCTATCGTATCCTTTTTTTTTCTTCTAAATTAAATTACAGCATGCTAATTGCTAACGCTAGGATTTTCACATAAAATATGGCAAATTCTAGAATCTTTTCCAATTAAAAATGCACTTTCCTTTATTAAAGGAATTTTAGCTAATTTATTTAAAAAAATATAAATAATTATTAAATTTAAAAATAAAATACCAAATGACTAGTTTCCTTTAAAAGGGAATAATGACCATTTTTCTTTTGGAATTTCTGCATCTAAAGGTATAGTATATTTTAATACTACTCCACTATAAAATATATATTTAATTTATTTATTATAAATTAGATTACTTGACACTATTTTAAAATGTTGCGAGAATTCCTGAAGGTACAAAGCAAGGAAGCTCCTTTTCAACGACTTCTAATTTTTATTTATCATTATCATTTTCATCTTCTGATTAATTTTTATTTAATTTTTATTTTCCATGTTAATCATCTGCATCTCTTCTCGAATTATATTCTTATGTTTTTCCTCCTCCATATTTTCTATCTTTTTATTCATATTTTGTAACTTATTTATGACTTTCAGGTTAATTATGATTATGCTGGTGCTTTTTTCTCCATACATCATAAGAATTATTTCTATATCTTTTTCTATTTGCACTTCGTTTTCTATGATTTTTTCTGGATGGTGATTTGCTTTCTTTTTAATTTTAATTCTATTTTTGCTTTTATGGTAATTTATTTTTTTCTAAGAAGGAGATTGACTTTATGAAGAATTCCTTCTTTTTCTTCTTTAAACTGAAAGTGATGAAGAACTACTAGATTGGCTTCTTCCCATTTAATTTTATATTGTTTAATAATTAAATTTTATTATTATAATGAGAAATTATTTTTAAATAGATGTAAATTTATAAAAAGTAATAAAATAATAATTTATTCAAAAATATTTTATTTATAAATTTTTTATTTTTTAAATTATATTAAATTATAATTTATTTTCATTTAAAAATATCTATTATATATTATTAAAAAAACATAACTCATCTTTTTTATAAAATTAAAAAAATGTAATTTATAATTTCAGATAATTAATCGTCAATTCAAAAAAACTATCATTAAACAAAAGAAAACTCATATTCCCCTCCCATTTAAATAAATAAATCCCAAATTCTAAACAAAAACGAAAAGTAATTTATATCTTAATTATAAACATAATTAAGAGCAGAGCGTAAAAAACAAGTAGATTTAATAGACAATACTAATAGTTATCATAATTTATTAAGAAATTAAGATTTTAAACTATAAAATGCTTTAGAAGAAGTTAAAGTTTTGAGAGCAAATAATGATAAACTTTTAAAAGATAATAAAATGATTCATTTAAAATTAGATAATACTTTGAATGCAAAAATTTTATTATAAAATGAATTATAATTGCTTAAAGAACAAATAAAAATTTATGAAAGAAGAATAGGAAAGTAGGATTTTTCTAATAAATTTTAAATGAATAATTCAAATGATAAAACTAATTTTGGAGAAGCTGAAGAATACATAAAAAAATTGGAGGAGTAAAATAATGATTTTAGATAATAATTATAAATATAAAATCACTAATACTCATTTGAGGGACAAAATAGCAATTTTCCAAATGAAAAAATATAAAATTTAATAAATTAGCTCATTGAAAGTGAAAAAAATATAAAACAGTATTAAGAATAATAAGCTATTTTAGAATAAAAAATATACGAAATGTAATAATTAATAAATTAATAAGAAAATTAACTAAACTTTACAAATAAAGAAATTAAACCAACTTTATTAGAAATATATAAATAATAATAATCACATAATTTATAAAAACCAGAAAATATATAATAATCGAACTTATTGGAAATTGAAAGATAAAAAAATAAAATACTTCAATAAATGTTTGAAGAAGAATAAGAAAAATTAAGTGAACATTAAATATACAAAGAAGAAATAACCAAATATATTCAATAAAATAAGCAATTAAACAAAAAAGTATTATGTCTTCAAAAATAAATTGATGAATTAAATTTGAAATAGATGAATTCTAAAATATCTTCACCAATAAGTAAAAAGTTTACTTCAACAAAAAATAATTAAAAACCATTCATGTCAAACCAAAGTATGAAATCAATTAAAAAAAATGAAGAAAATTGCAATTTTTAAAAAGTTCAAACAAATTAAAATGAAACTTCAATTTTAGCGTATATGCAGATTGAAAGAGAATTAAAATAAGAAATAGTAAAAAGAGATAAGTAAATTGAAAATATTTTAAATTCAAAAAGTTTAATGCAAAAAAATTTAGGAGAATAAATTACAATATTAAATAAAAGACTTGATTAATTATAAGAAGATATAAAACATTAAAAAAATATAATAAATGTAAAAGAAGAAGAAAATAATTCATTAAGAATTTTGATTAAAAGATCTGAAAAAAAAAAATTTGGATGTGAAAATTTTGTTTGAATAAAAATATAAAAATTATAATAATAAAGATTATTTTATAAAAAATAAAAGCATATTTATAAAAATTAGAATTATTTATTTTATTAAATTTTATATAAAAAATAAAGTAAATAAATATTCATATATTTTTCAATTTTTATGAATTAAATTTAAATTCTTGTGCTGCATATTCTATTTTTAAAAGTTGCTGAACATTTATTTTTTATTTTTATATTTATTTTATTTATAAATGTACTAAATGACTATTTATCTCAAATATTATTACTATCATAATAATAAATATATTAAGAATACTTTAATTATTGAATATATTAATTAAGTTCATTCTATATTTACTTAATATCTTCTTCTTAATTAATTTATTAATAATTGTATTCTTCCAAATTTTCATTTTATTAGTCTTTTTGATTTTAATCAAGTTTTTTTAAAGATTCTATCTTATGGAAAAATTCTTCTATCATTATCTATAAATTTGGATTTTAATTCATTGAATTATTTTATTCTTAATCTTATTAATTCATATATTATTATTATTATTATTATTATTATTATTATTATTATTATTATTACTATTCATTTTAACATTAATTTTATTAATTATTTTTATCATTTATCTCTTCCTTTTTTTATTATATTAGAGCAAATAAATTTTCATATTCCTAATTTTAAATTTCATTATCTTTTTTTTAATGGTTATGATCACACAAATAATTTTAATCGGCTTAAAAATGATTATTTTCCTCTTATTATTATTTTTCTTAATTTTCGATATTATTTAATTATATAAATCTTTATTCTGTTTGAATTTAAATATCTTAATTTTAAATAATTTGTTCTTATTCTTAAATTGATTTGATTTTTAATTGTCCTTGTAAATTTTTATCTTAACTTTCATTAATCAAAAATAGCTTTATTTTAGGATTATTTTCTATATTCAAGGTCTCATTTTTTTATTCTAATTCTTAATTTTTTAAATTTGTAATTTATAATTTTGTTTGATTCATTTAAATTTAGTTTTTGGTTTAAATTTAATTTTCTTCATCTTATTATTTTTATTTTTTATTTAATATTAATTTTAATTAAGGTTTTTTGGTTTAATATAACTTTTCATTAATTTATTCTTATATATATTAATCTGTTTCATTCTTTTAATTTTAATACTCTTCATTAGATTCTTAATTATTTAATCCTTATTTTATTTCTTTATTTAAATCTATATTAATTTCTTAGTTTTTTTATTACTGAATTTAATTTTCTGAAATATTTAAAGATAATTTTAATTTTGGTATATTAACTGAGTCTTATTAATATGATTTTTAACTTTATTACTCTTACGAGTTTTCATTTTATTATATTTAAAAATTTTCTTTTATTTCTTAACTAATTAATTTACAGTCATCAATATTTTGATATAAATTTTTTTCTTATTTTTTTTATGAAATCTTATTCATTAAATTTAATTTAGGTTTTTTTTTTATGATATTTTATAGGAATTCTTGTTAAGAATTATAACTTTATTGATTATGATTTAATTAACTGTTTTAAAATTTTTATTGTTACTCTTAATCTTTGAATTCAATATTCAATTTTAATTTTGGAAGATTCTTAATTTCATTCCTAACCTTTTATTCTTTTTACTCATTTTATATTTAATAAACTTATTTATCTAAATTTTAATCTAATAATTTATTTTGGATATTCAAACTTAATTTCGGAATTTTTTTTATATTTTCCTTGTCCTTGTAAATTGGAAAAATATTTTATTTTTATTTTGGCTTAAAGTTTTATGCTTTTTATTTTTGATAATTAAAATCTATTATCTTTTCTTTTATTAATTTTTAAAATTATTCTTTTTATTAATAATTTTTAATTTTATTTTTTATTATATTTTATTATTAGATTT